GATGACCAGACTAAGTGGGTCATTGGGCTAATCCGGACGGGGGGGGGGGGGGGGGGTCGTTGGTCTAATCCGGGGGGGAGACATGGACCTGCTCCGCATGTGTCAGTGTTCCTTCTTTCTTATGTTCCTATTCACAATAGTAATGTTAGGATGCCAGTGTTCCACAGGCTCTGTGTTTGAGCCCAATGGTAACACAGTTCCTTAATTTCTGCAGTGGAAATGTTGCCCTTACTGCTTTCCTCCTCTGAAGAAGAAATTTCCTCAAGCTCTTCTTGCTGCTCCTTGTGCAGGTCTTGAAGTTCTGTGGTGAGCTCATTCTTGTGATCCTCCACCAACTCCTCTACATCCTCATCGGCCCAGAGAGACAATATCCTTCAGTATAGGCTCTGCCTCAAAACCTTCAAAATATCTGTCTGACACACAGTCTGGCCACAGTTTTTTCCAGGCAAAGTTCATTGTCCTGAAAGAAACTTTCCTCAGTCTTTGTTTAGCCTTAAACACTAGAGGATATTACAATTGTTTTTCCAAATTTCCCTAAGGGTTAGTTCTGTTTCAGAGGTCACTTCAAAGCATCTTTTAACCCTTTGAGGGTCGACAGGCCCTCTCCGAAACTCGTTCTCAGGGTCGGCCAAATTTAAAAAAAAAAAAAAAATTATTTTCTCTTATGAAAAGTTAGAGAATCTCTGCCCGATCATAAAGACACCAAAAGTTTGAAATTTGATAGAAAACTTATGGAATTATGCTCTCGCAAAGTTAGCGGTCTCGGCGATGTTTACACATCGGCGATTTTGCCCACTTTGAGCCCCATTTTCGGCCAATTTCACTGTACTAGTCGACAAAAAACATGAATATTTCGCTAGAACTCCAGTTTTTCTATCGAATGGGTGCAAGAAACCACCCATTTATGAAATTCAACTATCCAGTACAGTGGTCAGAATTTAGCAATTTTGCCAATTTCACACAAATTTCAAAAGATGCCAATTTCCGAATAGGGTCCAGAATAAACAAGAAAGACATTCCTGGCACTAAAATGACATTTCCTCTAGTCATTAGTCACGTCTCAAGGCCCCTCTTATATTCTTTTGCTTTCCACTTTGAATTTTTATTTTCACAAAAAATATAAGATTTACTGTTATGCAGACTACTGCATTAGTGTAAAAAATGGTATAAATATTATTGGTGCACTTGTGAAAGAATATTAGACTCACCAGTTGACATGTATTGCACGCTTGGCACGATTTGTTTACTTTTGAAGTTTGGTAAAAATCGAACATTTCTGCTACTTTGAGCTCAATTTCAAGGCACCTTTCATTGTAAAACCAGTCAAAATCATCTCAATTTCTGTGATATGTCTTCCATTCTATAAAATGAGACCAAGAAAACTAGAATACAACAATAAATACCATACGAAAATACACTGCAAAGTCGCTGATTTATTCAAAAAAAATGGTCAAAGTTTTTTTTTTCTCATTATGCACTGTGCTGCAGGATTTTTTTTAGACTGTGCACACTGACCACATAGACCCATTCTTTCATATGAAGGCCTACCAGCTTTCTCCCACTAGAGTTGAGGCCGCTAGAATTTATGAGTACTAGTACGTCAAAAACCCCTATGCGTAAGACGTACTAGTACGACCAAAACCCTCAAAGGGTTAAACAATGCTTTTGTGTAAAGTTTCTTAAAACTGGAAAATACCTGCTGGTCCATGGGTTGGATAAGAGGAGTGGTATTAGGGGGCAAGATCTTCACTTTAATGAAACTGTATTCATCCTCCAAATTTTCCTCCAAGCCTGGAGGATGAGCAGGAGCATTGTCCATTACCAGAAGTGCCCTTAATGGATATGTTTTTTCTGCAAGGTACTGTTTCACACTTGGGGCAAACACTTCACATATCTACTCAGTGAAAAACTGCCTTGTTACCCAAGCTTTATTATTAGCCTTCCACATTACGCTGATTACTTTTTATCATTGTTTTTCTTTAACACTCCTGGATTTTCAGAGTGGTAGACTAGCAACAGTTTAATTTTGCAGTCCCCACTATCATTACCACACAACAAGAGTGTTAGTCTGTCTTTCATGGACTTGTGTCCTGTAATGATATTTCTTCATGTGATGTAGGTTCTCTTATGATTCTTTTCCAAAAGAGGCCAGTTTCATCACAATTAAAAACTTGTTGAGGAATAAATCCCTCAATGTCTACATAGGTTTTAAATTCCTTAAATTTTTCAGCCTAATCCCACTCCTCTTTTTAAACCTATCAAACCAGTCCCTACTTGCCATAAATTCATTAGTTTCAGCACTGTTTCCTGGGGTATCTTGCCTAAGATCACTATATAACTGCTTTGCTTTTCCACAAATTATTGTTTCAGAAACACTGTCACCGGCCAATTGTTTTTAATTAGTCTACACTAACAAAAGTATTTCCATTTCTTCAATTATGTGTGACCATTTCACAGCAAAAAATTTCACTCCTTTCACCACATCAGCCCCTTTTATTGCCTCTTTATTTTTCAATATGGGCAATAATGTGGATTTTGACATACCATATTGAATGTCCAGGTCTGACACATTCCACTTTCCCAGCGAGTTCTTTTTTCACTTCAGTTATTGTTCTTACTGCTTTCCTTTAACCCTTAAATGGTCCAAAGAGATTGACATTCAAATTCGTAGCTACAAAAGTAGATCTACGTTTTTTTACATATTTTCAAATATAACAAAAAAAAATGTAGATAAAAGTTTTTTTTACATGTTTTCAAATGTAAAACAAAAAAGAAGATCTACATTTTTTTACATACTTTCAGATGTTGAAAAAACGTATATATACGTTTGGACCATTTAACCCTTTGAGGGTCGACAGGCCCTCTCCGAAACTCGTTCTCAGGGTCGGCCAAATTTAAAAAAAAAAAAAAATTATTTTCTCTTATGAAAAGATAGAGAATCTTTTCCCGATCATAAAGACACCAAAAGTTTGAAATTTGATAGAAAACTTACGGAATTATGCTCTCGCAAAGTTAGCGGTCTCGGCGATGTTTACGCATCGGCGATTTTGCCCACTTTGAGCCCCATTTTCGGCCAATTTCACTGTACTAGTCGACAAAAAACATGAATATTTCGCTAGAACTCCATTTTTTCTATCGAATGGATGCAAGAAACCACTCATTTATGAAATTCAACTATCCAGTACAGTGGTCAGAATTTAGCAATTTTGCCAATTTCACACAAATTTCAAAAGATGCCAATTTCGGAATAGGGTCCAGAATAAACAAGAAAGACATTCCTGGCACTAAAATGACATTTCCTCTAGTCATTAGTCATGTCTCAAGTCCCCTCTTATATTCTTTTGCTTTCCACTTTGAATTTTTATTTTCACAAAAAATATAAGATTTACTGTTATGCAGACTACTGCATTAGTGTAAAAAATGGTATAAATATTATTGGTGCACTTGTGAAAGAATATTAGACTCACCAGTTGACGTGTATTGCACGCTTGGCACGATTTGTTTACTTTTGAAGTTTGGTAAAAATCGAACATTTCTGCTACTTTGAGCTCAATTTCAAGGCACCTTTCTTTGTAAAACCAGTCAAAATCATCTCAATTTCTGTAATATGTCTTCCATTCTATAAAATGAGACCAAGAAAACTAGAATACAACAATAAATACCATACGAAAATACACTGCAAAGTCGCTGATTTATTAAAAAAAAAATGGTCAAAGTTTTTTTTTTCTCATTATGCACTGTGTGCTGCAGGATTTTTTTTAGACTGTGCACACTGACCACATAGACCCATTCTTTCATATGAAGGCCTACCAGCTTTCTCCCACTAGATTTGAGGCCGCTAGAATTTATGAGTACTAGTACGTCAAAAACCCCTACGCGTAAAACGTACTAGTACGACGAAAACCCTCAAAGGGTTAAGGGTTAAGGCTTGTTTGGATCACTACTCTTTTTTGGGGCCATGACTACTTGTTTTCAATAAAAATATTTAAAAACTCCACAGAATAACAATGAAATACCAAAAAGTTTCACGAAGCTTGTACGAATGATGCATTTAAGAACAAAAGCTGACGAGAGACTGCTTTGTTTTTGTCAGACTTCGTCCAGATGGACTGTTTTCTTTAGGTCAACTATCAGGGCAACATCTGAATACAGAGTTAAATTTTTCTTGAAAAAGTCAGGTGAATATAGAGTTGTACAAATAAGTATAGGGACATACAAATATTGTGGTTCCACTGTATTTATTAACAATCCATTCTTCATTAACCCGTAAACGGTCCAAGCAGATCTACGTTCACATGTGTAATGCTACAAAAGTAGATCAAAGTTTTTTTTACATATTTTCAAATGTAAAAAAACAAAAAGATCTACTTTTTTTTACATACTTTCAAATGTTGAAAAAACGTATATATATGTTTGGACCGTTTACGGGTTAAGATGAAGTGTTTCTAAATTTCCCACAGATTTAATAGATTTTTAGTTGCACTAAGTACAGAATTAATATAACTTCAGATTGAACTGATCTAACAGTGCTCTACTGTGCTGTTTGAATTTTATTTCAAGATGCAACTTTTCATAATATAAGGCAAAGGTTGGGTAAAGGATGTTCTGACATCCAGCAAGCAAGTATAAGCATGTTAGATAGAAGTGAGTAGAGGCAAGTGGTTTTTATGACTTGACATACTGTTGAAGTGTGAGCAAGGTAACATTTATGAAGGTATTTTGGAAAGCTGGTTAGCCAGACTTTAGTCCTAGAGGTGGGGAGAACAGTGCCTGTGCTCTGAAGGAGGGGTGGGGATATTTCCAGTTTTAAACTGTAGTATCAGCGTGCCTCTGGCAAGATAGTGATGGAGTGATGGTGAAAGCATCACTTCTTTTTTGGATCACCCTACCTTGGTGGGAGACAGCCAGTGTTAAAAAATAAAAAAATTATGGTAAAGCTTTAAAAGAAGAAACTAATATAATACAAGTAACAATAGTACAACTAAATTTTGAGTAGATACCTGTGTTTTACCAATATTTAAGCTGACTAGTTGTGTCAGAGTTGCAAGGGCAGCAAGAGCATGGTTTGTAATAGCTGTCGATGATATATGTAGCTCCTGTAACTGAGGACAACCGCCCACCAGTGATCCTATGACACGATCAGTCACCCCAGAAAGCCCATTGAGAGCCACTATCCTCAACTTTGGTTTTCCTTCTCCTAGTCGAATCAGTGCTGGAAAAAGTTAGTAGAAATAAGATGAATTCAGCAACAAATACATTATGCATGGGTGTGTAAGGGTAAAAAGTTGAAAGTGAACATAGATAAGAGTAAGGTGATAAAGGTATCAAAATTTAGATAAAGAAAAATTGGATGTCACATTGAAGGGAGAGAGTATGGAAGAAGTGAATGTTTTCAGATATTTGGGAGTCGACTTGTCAGCGGATGGGTTTATGAAGGATGAGGTTAATCACAGAACTGATGAAGGAAACAAGGTGAGTGATACGTTAAGGTATTTGTGGAGACAAAAGAGCATTATCCATGGATGCAAAGAAGGGAATGTACAATAGTATAGTGGTACCAACACTCTTATATGGGTGTGAAGCATTGCTTGTAAATGCTGCAGCGAGGAGTCTGGAGGCAGTGTAGATGTCATATCTAAGGGCAATATGTAGTGTAAATATTATGCAGAGAATTTGTAGTGTGGAAATTAGGAGATGTGGAGCTACTAAAAGTATTAGCCAAAGGGCTGAAGAAGGGTTGTTGAGGTAGTTTGGTCATTTAGAGAGAATGGAACAAAGTAGAATGACTTGGGGAGAGTATAAATCTGTAAGGGAAGGAAGGCGGGGTAGGCATCATCCTCGAAAAGGTTGGAGGGAGGGAGTAAAGGTGTTATGGGCAAGGGGCTTGGACTTCCAGCAAGCGTGTGTGAGCGTGTTAGATAGGAATGAATGGAGACGGACGGTTTCTGGGACTTGAGCTGCTGGAGTGTGAGCAGGGTAATATTTTGATACAGTGTTCCCTTATTGTGCCCACCACACCCCTGCTCCTCACTGGGTTTATTTTGCTCTTCTTCCCATATCTCTCACTCCAGTATGTTGTTATGGCAGTGTGCAGATTTGGGACCAAGCCCTCGAGTACTTTTCAGGTATATATTATCATGTATCTCTCTCTCTCCTCCGCTCCAGTGAGTACACGTTCAAGACTTTAAGGTGTTCCCAGTAATTAAAGTGCTTTACTGGCTGTGTGTGTGCTGTAAACGATCTCTGTATTTGTTGCAGTCTGATATTTCTCCTCCTTTGAACGGGGCCCTCAACATTGAGTAATATTCCATATGAGGGAGCACTATCGATTTAAGTGTCACCACTGGCATTATTTCCCTTGTTTTGAAAGTTCTTAATACCCCTGGCTGTCATCATCTTTGTCTTATTATTGTCTTCAAAAGAAAGGTCAGCTGTCATAATAATTCCCAAGTCTTTTGTGTGTTCCTTTCATTCTGTTTGGTGATCCTCTTGAGTTTTGTATACAATGTTCCTTTTGAGTTCATTTTTTCCACCACGATGCTGTTCTCCAGTGCCCACTGGAAAACCCTGCTGTCTTCCTGTAATTTTTCCATGGCTTTCATGCTTATTTTAGTGTCATCTGAAAATAATGATACAAAACTGTGATGGGTGTTTTTATCTATGCTATGAGGATGAGAAACAGCAGAGGTGCCAGGACAGTTCCTCAGGGTACTGAGCTTTTTACCTCGCTGATGCTGGATTTGGCTCTGTTTACATATACTTTTTGGGTTGTGTGTGTTAGGAATCTGAAAATCCATCTGCCTACTTTCCCCGTAATGCCTACGGCCCCCATTTTGTGCGCTATCACTCCATGATCACATTTGTCAAACGCCTTTGCAAAATCTGTGTAAATCACATCTGCGTTTTGGTTGTCTTCCAGCACCTCTGCAAATCTGTCATAGTGGTTCAGCAGCTGTAACAGGCATGATCGTCCTGCTCTAAAGCCATGCTGGTTAGCATTATGCCAGTTATGCTGGTCCATGAAATTTGTAATTTGCCATCTCGTCACTCCTCTGAAAATTTTTATGATGCGAGAAGTTAGGGCTGCAGGTCTGTAATTTTTAGCTAATGCTCTAGTACCTCCCTTATGCAAAGGAACTATGTCTACACTCTAAGGTCTCTGGTATTTCACCTAGATCTAGGATCTTTCTCCAGAGAATACTGAGGGCTTGTGCTAGTGGTACTTTGCACTTCTTTATAAATAGAGCATTCCATGAATCTGGTCCAGGTGCTGAGTAAGTGGGCAAGTTATCCATTTCTTTTTCAATATCTATAGGATTTGTACTAGTGTCAGTGTTGGTCTGCATGGTCTTCTGCTGGAGCAAAAAATGTTTTTGCATTCTCTACCTTGCTGTCATTTAGTGGGTTGGTGAACAACTCATACCATTCTTTTAGGATTTCACTCACTTCCTGTTCATCATCAGTATACAATTTTCCTCTCAATAATGGTCCAATTCTACAGGTAGTTCTTAGCTTGGATTTTGCATAGGAATGGAAATATTTCGGGTTTCTTGCAATATCCTGAATGGCCTTTTGTTTCCTTTGTACTTCTTTTGTTAGGTATGACATCCTAACTATGCACAGAAAAATGTTTGGTAATAGGTAATGTGTATTTAAAGAAAAAGAGAACAAGTGTACAAGATACAATATAGAGCATGATGAAAGCAGTTTGTACTAGTAGATAAAAGGGTGATGGGTAGACTTCTGCATGTTCATGTTTTTAGAGGGGTGACAGATACATATACATCAAAACATTATTTAGTGGTTTAAGAAATCGTAATGACACGATTGCAAATAAACCATACCCCCGGCCGGGATTGAACCCGCGGTCATAGAGTCTCAAAACTCCAGCCCGTCGCGTTAGCCACTAGACCAGCTAGCCACAATAAGATTCATCCAACTAGGTATATTTCTACACCATAGGAAAGTTAGCACAGGCACCTCTGTGACCACAAATGCAAGTTTTTACAGACGAATCTCCAGCTAGCGTGGCCGTGACGAACTCTAGCTCAAGTCCCTTGCATTTGTGGTCACAGAGGTGCCTGTGCTAACTTTCCTATGGTGTAGAAATATACCTAGTTGGATGAATCTTATTGTGGCTAGCTGGTCTAGTGGCTAACGCGACGGGCTGGAGTTTTGAGACTCTATGACCGCGGGTTCAATCCCGGCCGGGGGTATGGTTTATTTAGTGGTAACTACAGTGAGAGTAAGAGGCAGATGGAGTACAAGGAGAATGTCTTCAGTGGACAAGAGAGAAGCAAAATTTTATAAATTTAAGGAGACACTTAGAGTAGGGTATAAGCAACTATTGAAAGAAAGGTGGGCTAGAGAGAATACAATTAATGAGGAGGGGAGTAGAGAAGGTACTGGAGTAGGTTCAATAATGCAGTGTTATAGCATGCAGCAGGAGTTTCTGGGTACAGGAGGGAAGAGGTGTTTGGTGGAATGACAGGTTAAAGGTGGTAAGTAAGGGAAAAAGTTGGCATATGAAAGGTTTTTACAGTGTTAAAGAAATATACAGATGGAGGAGTATATGGAGAGTAAAAAAAAAAAGAGGTTAAAAAGAATGGTGAGGGAATGCAAAAGGAGAGCTAATGAAAAAGTGGGAGAGGTTTTATCAACAAATTTTGCTGAGAGTAAGAAACACCTTTTCTCCACGAGGAAGTGGAACAGAATTCTTCCTTCATAAGCCATGCATGTCATAAGAGGCGACTAAAATGCCAGGAGCAAGGGGTTAATAACCCTTTCTCCTGTATAAATTACTAAATTTAAAAAGAGAAACTTTCATTTTTCTTTTTAGATCACCCTGCCTTGGTGGGATATGGCCGGTTTGTTGAAAGAAGAAGAGAAACCTTTAGAGTAAGATCAATAAGTTGAGGAATTGTTGAATGTTTATGAGAGAGGAAGGATGGAGGGGGAAGTGATATCTTGTATAAGGCAGGAAGGTACGACACCTTTTAGGAGTGAGGAAGAGACAAATGCGAGTGTGGAAAAGGCACTTGAGGCAGAGGGTAGAGTGTAAAACAGCTTGGATAGATGGGAAAGACAGAAATGTTAAAAGCAGGTGGAGATCTAGTTGTGGAGTGGGTGATGCATCTATTCAATACATGCATGAAATAGGGAGAAGTACTTAGGGATTGAAAGACAACATGCATAGTTCCATGTATAAGGGAAAATAGGATAAAAGAGAGTAAGAATCACATGTACATGCTTCTAAACTTTTGTATTCTGAGCACCTCTGCAAAAAGTGATTATGTGTGAGTGAGGTGAGAGTGTTGAATGATGATGAAAGTATTTTCTCTTTGGGGATTTTCTTTCTTTTTGGGTCACCCTGCCTCGGTGGGAGATGGCCGACTTGTTAAAAAAAAAAAAGTATAGGGAAACAAAACTGTCGAGTATACCAGGTAAAGTGTCTGGCAGAATTATTGTTGAAAGAATTATGACTAAGACAGAGAGCAGGACTGCACAGAAACAAGGTTTTAGGAAGGGTAGGGGATGTGTTGACCAAGTGTTTACAATGAAGCACATAATTGAAAAATATTTAGATAACGTTAAGGAACTTTTTATTGCATTTATGGATATAAAAAAGGCACATGATAGGGTGGACAGGGGAGCAATATGGCAGATGCTGCAAATGCAAGAAACAGGTGGTAAGTTACTCAAAGCAGTAAAGAACTTTTATGTGGAGAGTAGCAAAGTGCAGGTTAAGGTATGTAGAAGAGAGGGAAATTATTTTCCATTTAAAGTAGGTCTTAGACAGGGAAATGTAAAGTCACCATGGTTGTTTAACATATTTATGCATGAGGTTGTACAAGAAGTGAATGGTAGTGTATTAGGAAGAAGTCTGGGAAGGAAAGATAATGAATTTGGTAGAGAATGGGTAATGTAAAATAAGTACAGTATAGACCTAACTGTATGATTAAACCTTTCTGCTGGGTAGGTAATAGTATGAGGTACTGACACTGACACAATGATAGAGAGACATATAGTTATAGAGAACCTTTACTGATTAACTCAAGTAGCCACAAATAGTAAAACCTAGTAAGGGAGATTTTATAAAGTAATGATTGACAGTGAGGTGAAGAACTAACTTTCTAGAAGTTTCCTGGCAAAAGATTCAGATAAACTGAACAAGTCTCTACAAATTAGCTACAACACTTGTGAGAAAACTTCTATGCCTTTAGGAATCCATATACCCCCAAACAAACATTCTCAATTAAAGTTCCATATAACTACATCTGTGTATGTAACTTTTTTTCTGTTACAGAAAGAAAAATATTTTACATGAACTACTGTGTTAAAGTTGTTGCCATTAAAGAATCATCATTTCATTCAATATAACAAAATCTGACAGAACACAACAGCACACATTGAGTAAACTGTACTAAGTAATACTTACAGTTTTCAGAAAAATTATCATTATCAACAACTGGTGGCTCAGGCAAATGTAAAACCTTTAAACTCTTAGCCACCTCAAGGGTTTCTAGTGCAGCATCAGATATTATACAATCATGAAGATCTGAAAACAACCAAAGATAAATGAATATTTTTAAATGTTCTTTATCAGTACATAACTTGTAACTAAACAGAGAACATTTTAGTAAAGTGAATAATTTACAGGTTTTGCTAAAAATATCTTGGTGAAAATTAATAGGTTTCAAATAATGAACAGTGACAACTTGCTCAGATACTTGTGCCGAGAACCGAACACTAACACCATAATGAGATACTAATTTTTTTTTTTATTATCACACTGGCCGATTCCCACCAAGGCAGGGTGGCCCGAAAAAGAAAAACTTTCACCATCATTCACTCCATCACTGTCTTGCCAGAAGGGTGCTTTACACTACAGTTTTTAAACTGCAACATTAACACCCCTCCTTCAGAGTGCAGGCACTGTACTTCCCATCTCCAGACTCAAGTCCGGCCTGCCGGTTTCCCTGAACCCCTTCATAAATGTTACTTTGCTCACACTCCAACAGCACGTCAAGTATTAAAAACCATTTGTCTCCATTCACCCCTATCAAACACGCTCACGCAGCCTGCTGGAAGTCCAAGCCCCTCGCACACAAACCTCCTTTACCCCCTCTCTCCAACCTTTCCTAGGCCGACCCCTACCCCGCCTTCCTTCCACTACAGACTGTACACTCTTGAAGTCATTTGTTTCGCTCCATTCTCTCTACATGTTCCGAACCACCTCAACAACCTTCCCAGCCCTCTGGACAACAGTTTTTGGTAATCCCGCACCTCCTAACTTCCAAACTACGAATTCTCTGCATTATATTCACACCACACATTGCCCTCAGACATGACATCTCCACTGCCTCCAGCCTTCTCCTCGCTGCGACATTCATCACCCATGCTTCACACCCATATAAGAGTGTTGGTAAAACTATACTCTCATACATTCCCCTCTTTGCCTCCAAGGACAAAGTTCTTCGTCTCCACAGACTCCTAAGTGCACCACTCACCCTTTTCCCCTCATCAATTCTATGATTCACTTCATCCTTCATAGACCCATCCGCTGACACGTCCACTCCCAAATATCTGAATACATTCACCTCCTCCATACTCTCTCCCTCCAATCTGATATCCAATCTTTCATCACCTAATATTTTTGTTATCCTCATAACCTTATTCTTTCCTGTATTCACTTTTAATTTTCTTCTTTTGCACACCCTACCAAATTCATCCACCAATCTCTGCAACTTCTCTTCAGAATCTCCCAAGAGCACAGTGTCATCAGCAAAGAGCAACTGTGACAACTCCCACTTTATGTGTGATTTTTTATCTTTTAACTCAACGCCTCTTGTCAAGACCCTCGCATTTACTTCTCTTACAACCCCATCTATAAATATATTAAACAACCACGGTGACATCACACATCCTTGTCTAAGGCCTACTTTTACTGGGAAATAATTTCCCTCTTTCCTATGTACTCTAACTTGAGCCTCACTATCCTCGTAAAAACTCTTCACTGCTTTCAGTAACCTACCTCCTACACCATACACCTGCAACATCTGCCACATTGCCCCCCTATCCACCCTGTCATACGCCTTTTCCAAATCCATAAATGCCACAAAGACCTCTTTAGCCTTATCTAAATACTGTTCACTTTATGTTTCACTGTAAACACCTGGTCCACACCCCCCCTACCTTTCCTAAAGCCTCCTTGTTCTTGCTATCCTATTCCCCGTCTTACTTTTAATTCTTTCAATAATAACTTACCATCACTTTACCGGGTATATTCAACAGATTTATCCCCTATTTTTTTTGCATTCTTTTGCCCCCTTTCCTTTATCAAGGAAAAATATGATGTCTTGCCAATCCTGGGTTACCTTCCCCTCTTCCATACATTTATTTAAAAAATTTCCCCAACCACCAAAAACTATATCCCCCCAGCTTTTAACATTTCTATCTTTACCCCATCAATCCGGTCCTTTAAACCCCCTTTCTTTTCCCTACTCCCCTCAGAACTTCCCCCACACTCACAATGGCTTTTCCCTCACCCTACAAGTGTTATCCTCCTTGCCCATCCGAAATCACAGCTTCCCTATCTTCATAAACTTTTAAAAATTCCTAAAAAATTTTTCCCCTCCATCTTCCCAATACCTCTAACTCTCATTTAAACTCTCCTTCCTAATTTAACTGCAAATCCATTTGTTCTCTGGCTTCCAAACTTGTTAATCTCACCCCAAAATTTTTTTCTTATTTTAACAAAATTTGTTGAAACATCTCCCCCACTCTTCATTTGCTTTTTTCATTGCTTCACCCTCTTTTAAACCCCTCTCTCTTTTTCCCTTTTATCTTCCCCCTTTTGCATCATTCTACTTTGTAAAAATTCCATATGCTAACTTTTTTTCCCTTATACTTCTTTACATATCATTCACCAATCGTCCTTTCCCTCCCGCAAACCCCCTTTTTTCCCTTTAAAACAAACTTCTGCTGAACACCTTTAAAATACATTTTTAAAAACCCACCCCCTACCTCTTGACCCCCTTGCCCTTTCTTCATTAGCCCCTTTACCTCCCAAAAGCTGTTTTTTATCTTTCCCCAATGCCTCCCCTTTTGTTTATAAACCTTTACCTCTCTCTTCCCTGATCTTCTATTTCCTTTTATCCCATTACCCTTTTTTCTCGTGTAGTCAACTGAAAGTGATTGATATATTTTGTGGCCCCTCATAAAACATGTAAACTGAAGTTATCAACAGTTTTTATTACCCAAAATAATCCCAAAAAATACTGTCATTTTACCCCATATATTTGTATACTTATTTATCCCCTTTTCTTAAAATATGATTTTCCCATAACAAACCCCTTTTTATCAAAGTTCAACAAAGGGTTCCATTACAATTTTCTTTGGGACCCCAAACTTTCCCACCACCCCTCTCTAAAAGTTTCTCCTACTTTGCATTCAGGTCCCCCACCAAAAATTCTCTCTCATTGGTTCAAAGGCTCCCATACATTCACTTAAGTCTCCCAAAAAACTCTCTCTCTCCTCTGCATTCCTCTCTTCTCCAGGTGCATACACGCTTATTATGACCCACTTCTCGCATCCAACCTTTACTTTAATCCACATAATTCTTGCATTTACACATTCATATTCTCTTTTCTCCTTCCATAACTGATCATTCAACGTTACTGCTACCCCTTCCTTTGCTCTAACTCTCTCAGATACTCCAGATTTAACCCCATTTATTTCCCCCACCGAAACTCCCCCACCCCTTCAGCTTTGTTTCGCTTAGGGCCAGGACATCCAACTTCTTTTCATTCATAACATCAGCAATCATCTGTTTCTTGTCATCTGCACTACATCCACGCACATTCAAGCATCCCAGTTTTATAAAGTTTTTCTTCTTCTCTTTTTTAGTAAATGTCTACAGGAGAAGGGGTTACTAGCCCATTGCTCCCGGCATTTTAGTCGCCTCATACGACACACATGGCTTACGGAGGAAAGATTCTTTTCCACTTCCCCATGGACAATAGAAGAAATAAAGAAGAACGAGAGCTATGTAGAAAAAGGAGAAAAACCTAGATGTATGTATATATATATATGCATGTGCATGTCTGTGAAGTGTGACCAAAGTGTAAGTTGGAGTAGCAAGATATCCCTGTTATCTAGCATGTTTATGAGACAGAAAAAGACACCAGAAATTTCCACCTCATGCAAAACATTTAAAGGGTTTTCTGTTTCACAGTCTCTGGCAGGACGGTAGACTTCCCTGGGGGGGCTGCTGTCTCCCAACCTACTAATACACTATATATTTAAATATACTTGAATAGATCATCAAAATTTACTAAAAACAGCAAGGGAAAGGCAGAGACATACTCCCAAACGCAATGAAAAAAGACAGCAAGAGAAATATCTGCCAACGTAAAAAGTAGACCAGGCTGGAGCAGCATACTGCCAACGTAATAAAAGACAGACGGGAAAAGAGCTGTGTCGCAGGGGTTTTTCATCTAGTTTAAAAATCCTTGTAATCCAACTATATTTTCATTAGTTGTACTCACCAAATGTGGTTGCAGGGGTCGAGACTCAGCTCCGGGCCCCTGCCTTTTCAGAGTTACTAGGTCTTGGTCGGTCGGTCGGTGGTCTGGGTCTCTCTGGGTCGGTCTGGGTCTCTCCCGGTTCCCCTCTCTCTCTCTTTCTCTCTCTCTCCCCGGTCTCTCTCTCTCTCTCCCCTTGGGTTTCTCTTCTCTCTCTCTCTGGGTCTCTCTTCGGTCTCTCTCTCTCTCTCTCTCTCTTTTTTTTTTTTTTAATACACAGTGTGACAAGGTTAAGGATCCCTAGCTTTACTGACAAGCTATTTACAGGCTAACGATTCCTAACTTTATTGGCAAGCTAAGAGCTGTTACCTACATCAGCTCATTTGAAAGCATTTTTATTGTTATGAGACATACAAGTAGGGAACAGGATGAAGTTGGAGCCATCTGTGGGCCAGCATTTTCATTTGATCAACTGTCTTTATCTCGTTGACATCATTATGCTGTACGAATGTGTTCCATACTCGAGTCATCCTGGGGTATATATGATCTCAGATGGAGTGATGTTCTGGAGAAGGTTACAAAGGTTACAGCCAGAGTGGAGTTGCTGCTTTCTGCCCATCTTGTGGCATAAAAGCTTGATTCACACTGTCCTCGAAGTGGATCCAAGTGTGGTACTTTGACAATATTGGCCTTGTACATAACAGTAAGCCCACCCACATCCCTCCTATGTTGAAGGCTCTGCTGAAATGACAGATCTATCCAGGATGGGTCAAGGTGAGAGATGAGACGTCTTGCTCTGTTCTCTACTCTGTCAAGCAGTCGCAGATGAGAGGGGGGCAGGCAAACCAAGAAAGTGGAGCATACTCAAGGTGTGAGCGTACTTGTGCCTCGTACAGAATCTTGCTACCCCTCCTGTCAAGCAGATGTGAGATACGGCGAAGTGCTGTAAGCTTCCTGGCTGCCTTGTTTGCAAGATTTACAACATGGTTCTTCATGGTCAGTTTGGAGTCAAATTTCACCCCAAGGATATCAA